CCCTACCTTTTCTTCCCTCTTTCATGACTGTAAGCACCTTTACAGGTAGAAAATACTAGGTATTAAAGGGCTATAATCTAGCAGAGAAAGGTGTAACAAGAACCAATGGCTGGAAGCTGAAGCCCAATAAATTCAAATTAGACACAATTTTTTTTAACGGTGAGGATGATTAACCCCACTGGAACAAGCTACCAAGGGGAGTGGTGGATTCTCTAGCTCTTGAGGTCTTCAGCTCAAGATTGGATGCCTTTCTGGAATATATGCTTTAGCCAAACGCAATTTCTGGTTTACTGAGATAAATTATTGGGCTCAATACAAGGGTAACTGGGTGAAATTTAATGACCTGGGATTACAGGAGGTTAGACTAGATGATCTAATGGTCCCTTCTTGCTTTAAACTCTAGGAAACTACCATTCTTGGCAGCTAATAAAGATGGAATAAAATTTATGCAAACTTACTATTATCCCAACATTAGATCATTAGCAAAATAAATACATTTTTATGTGTTGAACATTTTCAGACTCACTTCTGAAAACAAAAGCATTCCTTATGCAGGAATATAGGTTTAAAACAAAACGGATCTGAGTGTAAAAGAATGTCAGAAAATTGCCTTAAAGTATGAAAGACACATTCTTTTTGCTCATGCCCAGACAAATCAAAATGACTGGTTTTGATTCAATATTTCCACATGCGGGGGGGGAGGGGGGAATCACATTTGGGTTGAGAATAAGCATATATAGCTACAATTTGAAAGATACATTTTGATAAGTTACTAAAAATACAATATTGGAAAGTAATTCTTAGTGATACTGTAATGTACTTTCTAAATTGTTATAGAATGTGTTAGAAACATTTGTAAGAGACGTAATTAAATGTTACCTTTATTTTGAAATATGCCTATATAAAATTAATGTTTATAGATGAACATTTTATAGGGACAGTCCCAATTTTGGGGTCTTTTTCTTATATAGGCTCCTATTACCCCGCACCTCCTGTCCCGATTTTTCACATTTGCTGTCTGGTCACCCTACTTTATAGAATCATCTTTTCCTAGTTTGTGCCAACTATTGAATGCTTTAATAATTTGGTGTTCATTACACTATGAAAACAAAGTGGTAGGTAGTGGAATTATTTATAATAATTGGCTTTATATGGCATATAGTTTTGCAAGTTTTTTTTTTTAATATCTGGAATTCATTGTAAGACAGACTGCAGTTTGGGCAGTGCAGAGTTCATTTTCTTGTGATCTGACCCTGATCCATTGCAGTTAGGGTCTAGGCAGCAGGTTTAAATTAATAGGCAGCAGGTTTAAAACAAGGAAGTTCTTCTTCACGCAGTGAACAGTCAACTTGCAGAACTCCTTACCTGAGGAGGTTGTGAAGGACTATAACAGCGTTTAAAAGAGAACTGGATAAATTCATAGTGGTTAAGTCCATTAATGGCTATTAGCCAGGATGGGTAAGGAATGCTGTCCCTAGCCTCTGTTTGTCAGAGGATGGAGATGGATGGCAGGAGAGAGATCACTTGATCATTGCCTGTTGGTCCACTCCCTCTGGGGCACCTGGCATTGGCCACTGTCGGTAGACAGGATACTGGGCTAGATGGACCTTTGGTCTGACCCGGTACAGCCGTTCTTATGTTCAGTCTCCCATCCACCCAATGACACAAAGAAGTGTGTGTGTGTGTGGGGGGGGGGGGAGGAACTAGTCCACTCTGTAGGCTGCCTGAAATACTGTTGCTGAATTCAGCAAGCAGACAAAACTTCAAGGCATAGACCCCAAGGTTTGGTTCTGGCTTAACTGAACTGTACTGCAACCATGGCTTCGGGGGGGGAGATGATGCAAAAAGGATTTCACACCTCTTCTACAGCCTTCTAATTTGGGCCTACAAAAGGCCAATTCACTCATTGGCATGTGTTAAAGCAGTCACAACTGGGGTTAGCCAGAACACAAGGGTACTTTTGTCCATGCCACCTATCTCATAGAGCACACACCTGCCACTGTGAAGAGAAGGGCATAGAGGAGCTACATTACCAAAGGATGTCCTCTGCAACGTAGGACTTCCAGGTACCTGTCTAAAATGGCTTTACAGTCCCTGTATATTGGCAAAGAGCCTGGCCCATAGTGTCTAAGTCCATAGATTTTTTTGCCCCATCCCTAAATGGCCCTCTCAAGGATTGAACTCACAACCCTGGGTTTAGGAGGCCAATGCTCAAACCACTGAGCTATCCCTCCAGTCCCAATGAGCAACTCAACCAATACAGTGAACCATAGTTAACCCCCCCCCAAAAAAACCTCTTCTCTTTGGATTAGCTTCTCCATTCCTTGACACCTATCTTCAGTGAATTAAAAGTGGGTGTAAAACATGATCACATCAAAGCGGTAGCATCTTATGCCCTTTTGCACACATGTAAACAAGACACATGGTGGAAATCAGTGAAGGATTAGGCCCATTTTCTTTTGAACACTGAAAGATGCCCCTCATTTACTGGCTTTGGTCCATCAGGTCCAATGATTTAGAGTTACCTGTATATTGGTAGCAATGGGTGTGAGAATTTAAGGAAATAGGTATAGGTAGCAGGAATTTAAAGGAAAATATCTATTTTGTCAAGAGTCAGTTGGGTTAGCCTTTTAAAAGTTCTATTTAAGTCAGAAGGTTTACTTCTATTTCACAATTTATAATCTAGTATAAATTAGTGCTGTGGAGTATTTTATTCATTATTATTTCAGGAGTTGATAGATTTTTGAATATGAACAAAATGAAGCTATAGCTGCCTACAGCTAAATAAGATGCATTATCCTAAATCCTATTTATTTTCTGGAACCAATGGCTACTGGATGTTTATCACTGTAGACACTAAGCTTAAGGAAATCACTGTATAACCATTTCCAGTTATACAAACAATCTTTATGTGCTGTGAAAGGCACATAAATGAAACAGAGTACCAGCTCATACATCATAATAAGATAAGAGCAGAAAATTTAAGACAGAATGAAACTCCTATTCCAAAGCAAACATGGAAATTGTTTTGTAGCACAGCTACTATAAGAAAGATAAAGGTTTACCCCAAAATATTTCCCCAAACTTCTTATATAATTGTAAACTTCTTGTATCTAAAAGTAGAAATAATACCCAGACTGATTTGTAATAAGAAAACTGACTAAAAATGCAATCCATTCAAGCTTTTTCCTCTCATTTTAGGATAATGTCAGACTCCCATGATTGATTTCTAACCGCCCAGATATCCCTGTTCATTACCTTATCTATGATATGGCACCAATTGTTGTAAGGGAACATGAGCAAGGGAATTACTGACTTTTCTTATTGACTGAAACAGAATTGTTGCATAAAACATTTTCCTATTTATGGATTAGGCATGTGAAAAGAAAGTTGTGTGTAGCACAAGATATCAATGGAAGATTTGTTGTCAGTTTATTGCCATCCTTGGGGGGGTGGAATTGTTTTCATTATTTTATCTCTTGCTGCAGTACTCCAGTCCCATGGTGCTTTTTTACAATGCTATGCTTAATGGTGAGAGACATCTGGACTGTCAGATAAAAGGTGTATGAAGGGATGCTACAATAAACAGAATCTGGTTCAGCTAAGACAAACAACTTGTTTCCTTGGTTTTCTTTCCAATCCAAAACAGTCTGTGGGGGGAAATGTATCTAATTAGCAAGCAACTGGGCAACTTGAAATACAAGACTAATATTTTGATTGTTGAAAACAGATAATTTATCAAAATGCTGTGTCTTTCAATTGTCAGGCTGACCGATTCAATCCAAACTGGCTTTTTGAGGCTATTATATCCTTCCAGCATTTCAGACTCCTATCTCTTTAACTGACAGGATACAGACTCTCAAAGCAAAAGAAACTTGAGATTAGGAAAATGAAAACTTTAAAAATTAAACCCTCTCAAGTCCCTCTTATCTCTCTTCTGCTACACTGGTCAGGACCAGTTATACTAGTACCTTAAGTTTTAGGGAAGAAGAGAGTTCCCCCTTACAAATGCCATCTTACACAAGTTACGTTTACGCACACCAGCCTGATTTTCTTCAGTTTCTCCCCACCCCACCAAACTACACTGAGTCCAATGCAACTCTGGTGATGATCTTTTCAGCAATGATTCTGCATCTTAAGCCTCTAGGGCCAGATCCTACAATGAGCCCAGTGGAGTTTGAGTAAGGATTGTAGGAGGGCCCTGAGTGAACTCTCCCATTCAGATACTAGATCTCTTCAGTTGGCAAGTAACATTTTCAAAAGGACCTGAGTGACTTAGAAGCCTAACCCTGAGGGAAAGCCTGTGGAACTTCCCTTTTGAAAAGGAGAGGTAGGCTCCCCCCTCACTGGGGCACCATGCTGTGCCCTCTGCTCTCTTGCCTGCCCCCAAAGATCTTTCTCCTGACAGCAGCCACCTGGGTGACCTTTTGTTTCTAATTTACCCAAGTTTAGCCCTAGGCAGCCTCCCCTCCTCTGTCTGGAGACCACCAACCCAGCTAGCAAGACTGTGCGTTCTCCTTCTCTTTCTCTCTCCCCACCCACCCACCCCAAAAGAGCCTTTCCAGCCTCCCTCCCTCAGCCCCCGGGCTGGAAGCTGATCTGTCTCGCTGCCCCACAAGCAGCAGTAACCAGGCGCACTCGGCAGCAGAGCCTGAGCCCCAGCCCCACCGCCAACAGAGCATCCCATGCCCCTGCCAAACTTAGCCCACAGCGGCGGCGGCACGGGGTGCCAGGTGGCCCCGAGAGCTGCGGCTCCTGGGGGCAGAGGGTCTGGGGCTCCAAGGGGACCGCAGCCTCCGCGAAGCCAGGCGCGCTCTGCCCCCTTTCCGCCTCCCCTCCAGCCAGTCCAGCCGGCAGGGGCCGGGCGCGGGGAGCCGCTGGCGGGCGCGTGGCGCTCCCAGGTGAGTAGCGAGGGATGCTCAGCCCAGGAGAGCAGGGCCCGGCCCGCCTGCACCCCTCACTCGCCGGCCAATGGGCGCGGGAGAAGGGGAGCGCGTTACCTGGAGCAAACACCATGCTCGTCTCCGGCCGGGCGCCGCGGACAGGGCGGGAGGAGGCGAGAGGGCCGGGGCGCAGGAGCGGGCGGGGGTGTCGCAGGGGCCCCGGCACCTTGGACAGCTCCCAGCCGAGGCGCTTCCCGAGGGCAGGAGGCTTCCTCAGCGGCGGCGGGACGCGGGCTCCCTCCACAATGCACCGCTCCAGCGGCAAGGGGAGGAGGGGGACCGGGACTCGGCGCATTCCTCGGTCCTTTGCCTGCTGCACACGCCAGTCCTGCGCAAGGAGCCAGCACAAGCCACCCCTTAGCCTGGCGCAGCAGCGGGAGGAAGGGGAAGGCGGGAGAGGGAATAGCAGCGCTTCCCAGCGGGGACAAGCTAATTGCTCCTAATTAACTCCTGTCAGCGGCCCCACTGGAAGCTGCCTGACATTTAGGGGTTTGCCTTTCAACCGTCGTCTGCAACCCTGGCTAATGGGCTCAGGCTTCGTGAGGCTGGGTTTAGTTCCCCAGGGTTAAGCTTTGAAAGACTTCACAAGTTGATCTCCTGGGCTGGCCGCCGTCTACCTAGATGCTGAGGCGTTTAGGCCACGCGAATAAGGAGAGAAGAAATGTGAAAGCTGGAAAGAGGATGGGAGAAATAAAGAAGAGGTTGCTGATGCCCCAAAGAGCAAATAAAGGGTAGAAGGAGACACTGGTGGAGGAGAAAACAGCTCACTAACTTTTGGACCCCCTAATCTCTGTGGTGTTATGAGGGATACAATTTAGCACCCACATTTCTCACAGAGCAATTTCTTCACCTCCACGGTGGAATTTTAGAACAACCCCTGATCAGACAGAGATCGAATACAAATGTAGGGGAGCTACTTGTACACTGACCCCTACTTGTACACTGACCCCTAGTCCTGGGTGACATGTTCCCATGCAGACTGTTCAAGCAATACAAATTAAGCAAAGTAGAAAGCAGGTGGCAAAAGTGCATTTCTGCAGTGCACAATACATTTTTGCACTCAGTCTTCATAATTCACACAGACCCCTACAACCCCACCTTCAAGTCCTCCTTTTCTACTCAACGATCTTTCTCCCTAACCCGCTCCCCTCCGTCCCCAAAAAGAATAAATATGGTGAAATTCAGGACTCTGCCTGTGAGTTATGGAAATCAAATCAACTTCTAGTTCTTAACATTTTTTTTAATAAGTCATTCACACCTAATAGTAAATTATCTCAAACGTGGCATCACCAAACTCAAGATACTGCTCTTTTAGTGATAACTCCCACTACTTCTTACTGCTCTTTTTCAGACACTACATTTCCCCTGGTTATGGAGCTATCATTACTGCCCTACAGGCTCCTTTTCATCCACCGTCTCAGATTTTGCCTCCTGGCTGCTCTCATCCTCAGCAACTTCAATTTTCCTATGGCCATCCTGTTCATCCCATTAGCCATCTGCCGCCTTGATCTTACGTCTTTGCCTGCGCTTCAACTCTGGATCACCTCTCCCAAAGAGCCACTCACTTGACATAGTCTTCTCTAAACCCTGTCCCATTTGATCTCTCCATAGCTGAGCTCCCTCTCTTGGACCACAACCTCTTCACCTTCAGCATAACCAACCTTCCATTGGTTCAAATTCACCCCAGTTCTGAAAATTGTTATGGAAGTGAGTTAGTCTTAGTCCAATTCCTAGTAGATAGGGCCTGGATCCACAATGGTACTTAAGTGCCTAAGTATCAGGTTTAGGCACTCTGATCCACAAACTCCCACTTGGCTGGTGCCTAACCATATAGGCACTTAAACTCACTCAGCACCTAAGCACTCAGCAATAGAAGTTCTGTAGGTAGAAACATAGGTGCCTCTGGGCATGTGCACTGCTGTTCCACTCTAGGTGTCTGGACACCTATCTCTGGCCTAAGCCCCAAAGCAATCCATTAACCAGGGGAAGCTAGATGCTCAGTGTCATAATGCCTAAATTTCTTTGTGGATCTGGGCCTAAAATGGCTATGTCATACATAGAAAGCATGATGTTAGCACCTGTATTGGTAGTCTTAGCAGGAAGGTCAGGGATTGAGTAGGCATGCTATCATTTCTGAGAAGTTCAGTGGTCTAGGTCAAGGCTGGGACACAGTTTTAGGATAGCATAGGAAAATTTGCAAAACTGCTTTAGTTTATGATGTACACTTATGTGGACTCTTCGAGTTTCAAGTATTTAGTGGAGATTTGACTTCAGCAGGAAGAAATGAATTCAAAATCTGCTTATTCTAAAATAAAATCTATTAATTTCCATTGCTATTAACTAGACTATTGATGGGGTTACTGATTTGTCATAAGATAATGGGTTCCTGGGAGGAGAGCAAGAGGTGGTTGGGAGTGGTGGCGAGGGATGGAAGACAAATATCTCTTGCTTAATAAAGCCTGTTTCCAAAAAAAGATTTCCAAAAAATTGTGTATTATCTTGTGACATGAACTTCCATAGTGCCCCATTGTAACTCTGGGTAGATGTGTTGGATTTATTGAGAAACTGAAGCATTTTGTTGTTGTTGAAGGACGGATGATTGCTATCCACTGTTTATATATGAAGTTGTTTAATCATTTATTTGATTATTGGAATTCTATATTTAACCTCAAATTATCCAATGAGTAAGGCACAGTGGACATTTTATTTCAGAATTCTAGCATTTCTGGCTCATGTTTAATGCCAACACAAATCAATGCTTTCTAGACTATGATAAATATAAAAGGCATCTTATGGGTTTTTTTCCTATCTAATGGAAAAATTTTAAAATACAAGATTGTGTCACAGCCTTGAATATTAAAAAAATGAGAAAAATGAGCTGTAATACAATTCAGGACACATCATCATAGACGTGGAATCAATAAGTACTTACTGAAATAATTGGAAAGGGCATAGTTCTGTACTGAATGGTTATACTCAAGAACTGAAGTATTAATGGAGAGAAGATTTTCCTTCCACGTAGGCAGCTTTTTAGCTGCTGATAAACACAGTAGGCAAGAATTATAATTAATACAGTACACTCTTATCCAGAGAAAATGCTGTACTAATGATTGATCTCTCATTCAACTGCAAGTCAGTGAAAAAAAATATCATGTATAGTCAGGTTACTGAAAAAGGTCCTTAACATTTTAGGGCCATATATTATGCCAGATATACTGTTATGTAGCAAGATATTTGTACTTGCTCATTTAAAGGGTACTATCAATGGGGGGAGGGAAGGGGACACCATATATCTGTGTGAAAGTTTTGTACCTGCTACTGTTGCAACACCTAAGATTACTAAAACTGACCCATAAATTAGTAAATTTTTGTTTAGTCAGTTTCATTGTTTCCCTTGTATATCAGTCAGGTTCTCCCTGGCTGAAGAGACCCTTATAAACATCAATAAGAGAGCTGAAAATCCCTTATCAAATATTGTAAAGGATTGTTTTAAAAAGTTTTGACCTATTTAAAGGGTGCTCCATCAGGAACTGTATTTTTGTAAAACGAGTCAGTAAAAAAAACAAAAAAACCAAGTTGATAGTGTCCCTTTAAATCACATAAATATTTCATTAGATCTGCTGTTATTTAAGCTTCTTGTCTGTCCATTGTAATGCTATGGATTTACTTCTAATCCCTTCATTTTAACCCTGATAAATGCCATTATTTGGTCATACAAATTCATAAGCTTAACAATAAAAATCTGATTCCCCCCCAGCACAAATAGGCACAAGTTTATTATTAATACATTTTTGATCAAGAAAACCATTTTAGATTAAGAAACTCAAGATAATTTAAATTATATATGATAGCTCTTTAAATGCTATTTTTTCCAATTGGAATTTTGATTCCCAGCTTTCGGGAAGGATGAAACTCTTTCCTATCAGTCTCTCTAGAAACTCTTGAATGCTTGCATCTGAATTGCTACTAGCTCTAAATTCCAGTTAGCATGATCTAGCAAAGATGTTCAAACATATTTTTGCTTTTTTAAGAGTTTCCATTCCTTTCTCCTTCTGTATTAAGTGTCCTCCTGAGTTGCTTGTCTGATACCAAGCACAGCAAACCATATGTAAGAGGTTGATGGAATCAGTCAGACAGCAAATGAAAACATTTTATGCTATCAGAAAGGTAGACCAGATATTTTACATTATTTTATAAAAGCTTCCATCCCAACACTGAGAATGAAGCAGACCGGTAGACATTGTCTTGTGTAAGCGAATGCCCCTTTTTACCCCAATCCAACAAAAACCCAAAGCATAATCAGATTGCTAATCTAATCTGTAAATCAGTTGAACTATTTTAGATACTTTATAGTGTTGGGTATTATTGTTATAATAAACTTTAACCTCTTTTTGGAATTTAGTGAATGACTCAGAATGAAAGCCCTAACCAATCAACGCATAGTTCATAGCATGTGAAACTAAAAGGAGGCTGTTGTGAAGATGTCATTGGAACTCAGTGTAGGTTTGAAAGATCAGATCAATTAACAACATGTTAATGAAGTCATTTACATGAATGGTATAAGTAGTCATTTTAGTACTGGCCTAGATTAATGCCTCAGTAATTAACAATAAGCACAGAAATATACAGAGGTGGGGGAAAAGAACAAAGGAGAAAATGAAATCCAGAAACAACTTTAAAATAAAATAATAGAAGAATGGCCATACTGGTGAGACCAATAGTCCATCTAGTCCAGTATTCTATCTTCCAGCAGTGGCTGGTATCAGATGCTTCAGTGGGAATGAATAGAGCAGGGCAGACCCTGTCATCAGGCTCAACTTCTAGCAGTCAGAAGTTTAGGGTCACCCAGAGTATAGGATTGTGTCCCTGACCATCTTGGCTAAGAACCTTTGATTGACCTATTTTCCATGAACGTATCTAATTCTTTTTTTAACCCAGCCTTCACAACATTCCCAGGCAACCAGTTTCATAGGTTGATTAAGCATTGTGGGAAGAAGTACTTCCTTATATTTGTTTTAAGCTTACTGCCTATTAATTTCATTGGGTGATCCCTAGTTCTTGTGTTATGTGAGCGGGTAAATAATACCTTCTTAGTCATTTTCTCCACACCATTCATGATTTCTCTATCTTATCCCTCTTTAGCTGTCTCTTTTCTAAGCTGAACAGTCCCAGTCTTTTTAATCTCTCCTCATATGGAAGTTGTTCCATACCTCTAACCATTTTTGTTGCCCTTCTCTGTACTTTTTCCAACTCCAGTATACGTTTTTTGAGATGGGGAGACCAGAACTGCATGCAGTATTCAAGGTGTGGTGCAGCATGATTTTATATACTGGCAATATGATATTTTGTCTTATTATCTATTCCTGTCCTTATGGTTCCT